TTGTAGGGTTCAGGGGATCTCGTAGTCGAGCAGTCTCGACTAGAGCTTTCTTACTTGTTCTTTCTATATGATATATAATATTTAACACTTAGAAATTCATAACAGATCTATCCAGTTTTCCATAAACTATTCTAGCCTTGATCTAAAACTCAGAGTTGGCTACAAAAATCAAATATACCTACATGTAGTTACTTAGGAAATCGTTGGCCAAAAAGTCCATTAATATCGCAATGCGTACACAGTTGTGCTATCTGTGGTTCTTTAGCTGTTTCCTAACTTATCTTGGGGCCACTGTGGATAGAGTGTCGATGGATAAGCTGGGCTTTCACAATAACTACAATGCGATTGTGCGGGATTTAATCAAGAACTGGGAGTCACCGATTGTGTATCTGCGACAATTGGGCTATCTGCCCAAGGACTATGAGGATACGTCAAAGATTAAGCCGAGCTTGGATGCTCTGATGAGTCGCATCGAGCACGATGATCAGCCGAATGCCATACACAGCGAAGGTGACAAAGGCCAGCAGCAATTCTGTGGAGCAAATGATGGCAAGAAGATGGAGCTGCAGAAGAAGAAAAAGAAGAAGCGAAAGGCCATATTGTTGCAGCCGCAGAAGGGCAAGCGTCGTGATCGCGAGGCAAATGCCACACAGGGCGTAGCCTATCCCACTGTGGATCAACTGTTGGCCATGGTGCAGCATACGAAGCCTGCGGCGATTGGCGAGCCCAAGGCTCAGCCGTTGGAGCCACAGCCAAAGCCCGTGGAACAGGTTGACAACTCGAAATTGCAGCTGCTTGGCCAAATGTTTTCAGAGCAGCGGCAGGAGCCAGTGCAGCAAGAGCAGCCAGTGCAGTCAGCAGCCAAAGCGACTGAAAATGAGAGTCTTTTGCAGCGTCTTGTCAAGATAATCAATACGAGCTCTGAGCCCAAGCCACTGGAAACGGCTGAGCCAAATATCGTTGGCAATCTGCCGCAGTATTCAATTGAGCAACCATCGCCCATGGGGGCCTATAACATGATGAAGATGCTCAATGAGAGTCCTGGCAAGAGTGTGTCCTCCTATTTGGCCAGCAAAAAGGCGGATGGCGATACGAGTATGTATAGCAAATTGCTTAAATCCATTGATAAATCCGCTATCCATTCGTCTCAATCTAGTCGCCCGGATCCGGCGCAATCTGAAGTCAAGATTGATACGGAAATCGAAGCACCGCAATATCTAAATTGGGATATACAAAACAATCGGCTCAAAGAGATCTCGCCCCTACTCAAGGATAACTATGTGGATAAAATCGTGCGCATCTTTGTCAAGAAACAAGAAACTATGGACATCTTAAATAAGAACCAGAATGCCAATAGAATATGAAAAGGAGAGCAAAAGAAACTTCTTCAAATTCTTTACTCATTGCCATTCATAAATATATTTTTTACAAAAAAAAAAACATTCCTTAATTGGTTTGCCGACTGATTCATATTCCAATTTTTCGCTTAAGAACAATTGTTTTTTTTTTTTTTGCCTTGTCCGGGCAACGTCATCTTCATGGCATCATCACGATTTGCTTTGAAATTTATGTCTTGTTTACGGGGGTAAAAATCACAGTAGTAAATTAATTATTTACTATACACATCTGTCTAAATATATGTTTACGATATTGTTTTCAGCGTAATTGTGCCGGGCCAAGACTAAAAAAAAAAATAATTATAATAATAACAGCTGCTCGTGCCCAAAATAAGAACTATGCCTCAGCAGACGTTCGCTTTGTTATCCATCTTCATTAGATTAGTGAATGCTATTTAGCTTGAATTTGACATCATCTTTTGGTATATAATTATACACTTTTCGTTAAAAAAGATCAACTACAATACTTGGTAAAAATCATTAAAAATTTGGGTGGGTGTACGAAAATTTCTCAATTTTGACTTCATTTTAAATTATTTCTTAGACATATTGACAATTGATAAGATTCTTAGTATATTTTAGAAATGCATATTTTAATAAATTGTATTTAAAGAGTTTGCCAAAACGAAAAAACAATATTTTATATATATTTTTTAAGCAAATTATGTTTTTTTTTTTTTTTTTGCATATATTAAAATATATTTTAACTGCAATTGGATAGCTTGGGTTAATAATTTTTATCGATTTTTATTTATTTATTTTATTTTTAATATTTATTTATTTTTAATTCACTATCTATAATTAAAAAAAAATTAAATTAATATAAATGATTGTTAAAAAATAACATTTAAAAAAACATATAAAAAACATATTAATTTATATTTATTTTTATTTAAAAACATTTGTTTATAATCTTTATAAATATAAATATGTTTATAATATATATAATTATTTTTATATATGTATATTAATTTGTTTATATTAGTATTTATATTTCTATAACTTGGTTAAATGAAAACACAATTTTGGAACGCTGTGTAATATGCTATTTATTTATTATGCATATAGAATTTTATAAATAGATCTATTGAGCAGCAAACAAAATTTTTGAGTTTACTAGGTTAGTTAGTATTTTGATATTAAATAAATATATATGCATATATATTTGAGCTGGATATTTATAAGGAATGTTTGGTAAATTGTAAATTGGTCTAGAATTCAACTAGGCGTTCGATTACGCGTGCATTAAATAGTTTTTGGATTAGTGTTTCGTCTATATTATTATTATTTTTTTGTCATTGGTATTCATTTTAAGTGCTTCAATTGTGATTTTCTCGGGCGGAGGAAGCCTTACGGAGAACCATGGGCGATTTACGTGGCGATTGCATCTGCTGTTGTTGTTGCTGTTGCTGCTGATGTTGTTGCTGTTGTTGTTGTTGTTGTTGTTGTTGTTGACAATGTTGCTGTTGTTGCACATTCACAAAGCCCGTCTCATTCTCCGGCGAGGGCGAAGAGCCAGCGCCCGAATTACGACGCGATGAAGTCGGCCGCACATTGGTGTCCAAATGCCTAAAGCTGTGAAAGCATTGAGTACTTAAAGAATAGAGGAAAAGAAAAATACAATAGATAACTGTTCCAACTTACCGCAGTGAGCAATTGTTGCCCTTTTCCTCGTTGTTGCTGTTGAAGAGAAAGGCGAGCGGCCACGAGATCCACGAGTTGTGATCCACCGAGCTCTGAGTGCGTATGATGGGTGCACTGCCGCGACTGATCACCGGCGAGGGCAGCTCCATGGAGAGTTTCGGTGTGCCCGCTTTATTGATAGCCGGATTATAGATCTTCGGATCACTGACCATGCGCACAAAGAACGAACGCTTCTGGGCGAGCGTATCCTGTTTCTTGCGATTGATGATCTCGGTGATCTCGTCGTGCTGTTCCTTCTCCAGCAGCTCGTTGGCGAAGTCCACGATGGTGTCCCAGGCATAGTCAATGTCCTCGGCGGTGGCATTCTGTGCCACCGCACAGAAGCGTATGATATAACGCTCGTTGACGCTGGCCGGAACCATATGCAATTTGCCCGACTCATTGATGGCGCTCAGCAGTTTCTCGTTCAGCTTGTCGGTGCCCTTGAGGCGAAAGCACACCAAGCCCAGCTGCAATGGAACAGTTGAATCGAGACTCGTTTCAATAGGTCTAATCGCCATTGTTACGCAGTAAACAAAAGAATAAATATCAGACAGATTTTTAGCTTGAAATGACATTGCGTATACGCAATGTGAACGCCTTATTACGTGATGTGACGTGCGGTTGCTCATGAAAGAAACGAAAAACAAGTAAGAAGACTCTAGTCGAGACTGCTCGACTAGGAGATACCCTGAGAATTTACTTGGTGAATAAATTCTTTTGTAAACATACGATCTTAATGAAATTTTCAGGGCGTAAGGGGGGCGTGGTATCCAAAATCTGTTGATTACAAAATGTTTGTATATGTATTATTTATTTTGAGAGGCAGCTGTAAATTTGGGTTTCACTTTAAGTGGATAATTTTAGTTCAAGTTTTCTGTGTAACATTTAGTTCTTTTTTTTTACTATGGGTAATCTCGTTTTTGACATTGAAACAGCGCTGTGACTGCTAATTGAAAAGCTGCGACTGTGCTGTGAGTTTTCAGTTAGTTGACTTTG